TTTCTGAAATTTCAATACTTAATTCTATCTCAAGTGGAAACCGAATCGGTACATGGGTTAATTTTGAGATAGCTCGCGTTATCTCACGCTATTTCATACTATCTCAAGTTAACTTGAATTTAGACCATGAGTTAATTTTCAATTTAGCTCAGAATTATCTCGCGTTAACCCATAATGGAAACCAAGCTTTAGGGCATTGCGACAGACGGTTTGGCATTGCGTAAATTTGACAGAATGTAGGCCAAACTGATTTTTTGAGAGGATAATTCTACTCAAGGTAGCAGAAACAGGAAGATCAAGCCACTAGCGAATGTAGTTGGAGACAAGATTGTCTAGGTTTTCGACAACCCAGGTCTTCATAGTAGATCAGCAACAGTAAAATTCCATGAAACTTTAGACAGAACATTTTAGGATGGTGAAGTATATCTTCAACATCCTTCAAAAGAGTAGAGAAAAGAGAAACGAGTTTAGATTTATGATCTTGGTCACTCATTTCATAATTAAAGAAACGGCCAAGATACTAAAAGGAATCGCTATTTTTGACAGCAGGAACTATTTGGTTGCAGATGAAAAGTTTCGGTTCAAATTAGAGGGATTGCGTAAAGTGTTTCTTGACACCAAAGGTAACACATTTGTCAACCCTGATTATGAAGTTCGCCCATTGGCACCATCGAGTAAAGCAGTTTAATTAGAGTTGGTTCTCCTTTTCTGCACTGGTAACAACATAGTCCGGCTGCCAAAGCTTAAATTTCATAGATATTTCATAGATACCTTGACATCAGATACATATAAAGTTTTTTCTTATTTTACGGATTATGGGGTATGATAGACCAAAAATCCGTTTTTTGCCAACCTATATCTGTTGGGCAAAATTTTTTCTGGCTCCACTTGCCCCACTTGCTACCGACGGACTCCAACAAAATTAATAGAAAGAAAGATGGTCATGTTTTATGTCGATTGGCTTTGTTTTTGCTATGGAGATAGAGGGTTTGATGAAGAGGAAGGTGTGAAGTTTCTGATCTGTATATAGGGGCATTAAAATTGACTAAGTGGGGATACATTTGACCGGGCGTGGCTTTTGAAATAAAGGGAACAATGGATTGGGAGAAGGAGGACGGGTGTTGGGCACCTCATATGTGTTTGGGCACCTGGATAAGATTATTGGAGATGGATCGGGCTGGGTATGTCTAAGAAAAGAAGAGTTTAATAATTTGAGGGAAAGGGTAGGTATAGGGTGGCTCATCTGTTTAGAGGGCCTCGATGTGAGGCCCCACTATATCGATACAAACTTTGTAGTTTTATCGTTTGCATGTTTTCTTGTATCAAACACAACAATATTCTTGTCGATATGGTTTGTAACGCGATAGTTGGTGGCAGAAATTTCTGCTAACTTCAAATTCAAATTCAAAATCATCAAATACCAACATTCTTACAATTTAGAGTTTTGGCGATTAACGCAAAATTACAATTTTAAGTTTGAATACAGAAATAAAAGGAAAAATGTAAATTCAAATAGAAGGAAAATGTAAATTCAAATATAAGGAGAACCAATAGTATGTTTATCTAGCCCAATGTTTTTTGTATTTAAATTACCTAATACAATATAAGGATCATCAGATGAACTGGTCATATTTGATCCTTACTTTTTAAAAATCATTAAATCCGATGCAAGGCTTGGTAAGATTGGCGCTTTCAAGAGATCTCAAAAACTTTCTATACAAGCCATGTTATCTCAAAACATATGTGTATGGCATCAACAATAATGAAAGAAAATTTGATTGAAGCCATCTCTTGGAGTTTCAATCAGATTCTCTACGAAAGAAGAGAGGCATCAATAATGATCACTTCTGACAGCACAAACCAAGAAGCAACTAAGCTTGGCGTCAGAGTAAAGTGGAAAGATTCGCAGTCGTGTTTGGTGAGGCAGATCATATCATCCCTTAACACGAACATGCGGCTATTCAAGAAGGAAAGATGTCAAAGTTATTTCTGCAGAAGGGGACGATTTTTACTGCTTGCTTCATGTATTGTAGTACACTTTGGTTACCAGCGAAAGTCTATTTGGAAAATTTTCAGGATAATGAGTCAGGATAAAAAGGGATTTATCAGTATACGAAAGATAGTAGAAAAAACAAAGATTCTATCCATCAGTGATAATGTTGCATGCCTTGTCTTGGTGTGACTCTGCCCCAATTTTGTTTGGTGTTGGGAAGGCAAAGGCCCTCGCAGTTGCAAAAGAAGTACATCTTCAGCATGCTGGGAAGTACAGCAAGGTTAGCTAAGTGTTATTAAGGGAAGGAAGTCAGCTCATCAAAGGACAGGAATGAAAGCATGCTTAGCTTGATGCGTATATATATATAAACGCATCAGTATTTACATAAGAAGTCTTGTCACCCATGGCATACCAAGAAGGCGATACCCTATAGTCAGGCTTTAAGGTTACGTAGGATTTGTTCGGATGATCGCCTAGCGGATGGTTAAAGGCAAGGGGGTATGAGGAATCACTTATAACAGAACAGATAGATAAGGCACGTAAGCAGGATAGGGTCACATTACTGGATAAGGCTAATGGGAAACAAGATCACAATGGGAGTGGGCGGGTTCCGTTGGTTACCACTTACCATCCAGCCTTGAATAATTTGGGCAAGGTGGCCGGGAGACTCCATTCTATGCTGACGATATCGGAAGAGCATAGGAAGGTGTTTCCTCAGCCACCTTTTATATCATTTAAACGATGCAAGAACCTTAAAGATTTACTAGTTAGGGCGAAACTTTAAAATGAGGGGGCAGGGACCATGCATAATAGGGGTTGTACTCCATGTGACAAGTCTCGATGTCAAGTGTGTAATGTTGTGTGACAGTGATACTTTTACTTCCCATATAACTGATAAGGAATATAAGATAAATTATCCGTTTAACTGTGATTCGTCCAATGTTGTGTATCTTATGGAATGTAAAGTATGTGGTGTACAGTATGTGGGTAGCACTTGCACGCCTTTTAGGCTTAGGTTTAATAACTACAAGGCGTGCAATCGTAAGTCTATCGGGGGCTCTTCAGGTATACCTCAGGCTGATTTTTTCCGGCATTTTGCAGGGAAGGATCATCATGGGTAACTCACTCTTCAGGAGATGTTGATATATTGGAATATTCCTCGAATAAATAGATAATACGGTACAGAAGGTGTTACATAATGTGTGAGGTTATACAAAAGGTGAATTAGGGGCGGTACATAAAGGGATTTAGGTGTTACATAATAGTGGAGACCACTGTCACACGCAGAGACAATGACACTACAGAAACATACATCGGACTTACAGAAAACGAATTCAAGACAAGACACACCGCATCTTTCCATCACACAAAACAAAGATATTCAACAGAACTCAGTAAATACATCTGGACCCTAAAAGACAATAACATCGATCACTCCATTTCCTGGCGCATCCTCTCAAAAAAGCCATCCTACAGCAGCTCAAAAAAAAGATGCAGCCTTTGCCTTAAAGAAAAGACCCTCATTATCTGCCACCACGAATTATCAACACTCAACGAACGAAACGAACTCGTATCTTCTTGCCGCCATAGAAACAAAACACTATTATGTAACATTTTTAAACTGAATTTTTTTCATTTCTTGTTTTTCGTATTATTATAAAGTACAAATAAGAACCGTTGGAAATATTTTTTCTCTACCAACTTTGAATATCGCATTTGGTTTTAAAAAGGACCATTGTGGGTAGTGGTTGTGGTAAAAATTTCAAAAGATGTGTTTATAATTAGCTAGAAAATCTTTAAGTTAACTTTTGTCCCCTTTTTCTTAAGAAGCTTCAAAGAGGCTAAAGGGCGTGGTCAAAGGGGGGCATCAAATAAGCATGAAGTAGCTTGGGAGGACCTTTTTATCAACTGTGGATTTTCCCAGCCCTCTTATCCATTTAGTAACCCTTGCTTTGCAGCATGGTTCCGTGTGAGTCATGTTTACGTAGATTCCTCAGTGGTTATATGCTTGCACTATCAGGAATGAATCAATGCTGTTTTACGCAGTATGTATTGTTTAGTTAACGTTTATACGCAAATTCCTCCTCGTGAAAATGAGGGCAGTAAATAATTATCCAACCCGTGATTGTTATAAGTATTCACATGACAAATTTACGTAAATTGTAAGAACGCTTGTTATTGGTTCATATTTCGGTAATTCCTTGTTGGAACATATAAAAACATGTGAAATTACCAGTAGTATTCGTATTCAAGCCTAGAGAAACGAGAATTATGTGATGAATAGAGATTGCTGAACGCTAAAAGGATTCTTTTTCTTGGCTTTTCTCTTGGACACCGACAACTATCCGTAGAACCAGCGAAAGATAGGCGAAAGTCTTAACATCAACTTCTGTGCACTCTTTCTAATCAGCTTTAAAAAATAAATCAAGCGATATATTATGTGGCTTTTCTTAGTGTACTATTGAGAACTGATCCCTGTTATAAGTGGCTAAAACGGGTAAAATCAAAATGACCCCATAAAATAATTTGCCCAAGGGTTCCGAGCTGGCAAAAAACGGTTTTGTGATCACTTTGTACCTAATATTCAGATAATATGAAAAAATTCCATATGTACTCGATGTCAAGGTTCATCTGTTGGCTGCTGGACTAACAGCAGCGTCATCAGCAAACTGAAATCAGTGTACTGGCTGAAACATACAGTCATTACCATCGTGTGGGGAGAAGCCAAGCTGCTTGTATTCATCTGATTTACTGTATTATTTGAACGTGTTAACGCAAAGGTTGAAAAGAAGGGGGCTGAGGCAGTCACCTTGCAATACACCGCGGCGAACGGGAATTGCAGAGGTTTGGAATTTTTCGGCTACGATACAGGTCTTTAAATCTAGATATAGCCTTGAGATCAATGACTGAATTTCCGAAGGTGTGTGATGATAAGCAATAATAGCTGGTATCAGCTTGTGGTGAACTTCGCCAAAGGCGTTTTTAATATCCAACAAAGATATCACTAAAGACCACTGCTTAATTCGAGCTTTATTTATTAAATTGCCCATCATTGCTGTGTGCTCTAATGTACCTGATACTTTGGAGGTGAAGCCTTTTCTTGATTTGGAGCTCGATGAAGCCATTGTGTTTCACGTAAGTGATGATGGAGTCACGTAAGCAAGAAGTGAAAATTTTTAAGGGCACCGATTCTAAGGTGATTGGCCGGAATTAATAATAAACTGGCTAGCCTGTGTTTACAAAATAAAAACTAATACATCGTAGTAATGAGAAAAGAAAAAAAAATGTTAAAAGGGGAGTAGCTCTGGATTAGTCCAAGTTTTGTTTCTACAGCAGAATATATAGTATGTGGTGCGAATGGAGATGCTTGTAAGTTTGGAGATGAGGTAGCGTTTCTGTTGATGATCAATGGACAAAGAGTCACACATGTCGATGAATGAGCTGCAGGAGTCGCCAAAAATACCAAGTGAACTGATGGAAAGATTGACAAACGAGACTGGCTTAAACTGACGTTTTAAGTCAGATACGAGGGTGGCATATTTCTCTGACTTTCTGACAGCATTGCAGTTGAGATTCGTTTCAAAGCCTATGGTTAGCTCTAAAACGTACAGACAGTTTTCCTTAGTTTTGAGAAGTAAGTCAGGGCGTATTTGATCTCCAGTTATGATAGAAGGGGAAAGAAAGCCTGCTAAATCTGCGTAGAGAGAAGACCCATTTATTGCTTGGAAGGAAGTGGCTAGAAAGTTTAATGCAGAATTATGACGCCAAGTATAGCGGCCTTGGTCAAGGTACACTTTGCATCCAGCAATAACTTGTAGAAGTGTTTCTGGAAGAAGACAGAATTCACAACCAGATGTTTGACTAAGGTTCCATTTCAGCAGATTTTTACAAGTTGGAAGAGTGTTGTTAAGATACTTGATGGTAAAGTTAAAGATGTTACTAGGCAAATTGCTCTGTGTACTTGACCAAATACCGTTCAGCTTTTCCAGTGAATGTTTCAGTAGGAAGGTAATTGTGGCTCCCTGAGATGTTAAGTTTTGGGAGAGACGTTCTTTGTTGTCTGTTTTGACAGCCTTTAATACCTTTTTAGTATTACGATAGATGTCGTACTGTAGGTTCGTGCCATGACTGGTGTTTTTCCATAGGGTTTGAATGTCAATATTAGGAGAAGATTTTAGGGCATTGCGACAGACAGTTTGGCATTGCGTAAATTTGATAGAAGGCAGTTGTAGATTTAGGCCAAACTGATTTTTTGAGAGGATTATTCCACTCAATGTTGCAGAAACAGGAAGATCAAGCCACTGGCGAATGTAATTGAAAACAAGATTGTCTAGGTTTTGGACAACCCAGGTCTTTTGTAAATCTGCAACAGTAAAATGCCATGAAACTTTTGACAGAATATAACGTTGGTATAATAGCAGTTTGTTTTTAGGATGGAGAGGTAAGTCGTCAATATCCTTCATAAGAGTAGAGAAAAGAGAAACGAGATTAGATTTATGATCTTGGTTACTCATTTCAAAATCAAAGAAACGACCAAGATACTTAAAGGAATCGCCATTTTTTGACAGCAGGCACTATTTGGTTACAGATTAAAAGTTTCGGTTGAAATTGGAGGGATCGCGTAGAGTGTTTCTTGACACCAAAGGTAACACATTTGTCAACCCAGACAATAAAGTTTGTCCATTGGCACCATCTGGTAAGGCAGTTAAATAAGAGATGGTTCTCCCTTTCTCCACTGGTAACAACAGCAGCATCATCAGCAAACTGAGACCAGTGTACTGGCTGAAACATGCGGTCATTACCATCATGGGGGGAGAAACCAAGCTGCTTATATTTATCTGATTTGATGTATTGTATGAACGTGTTGAAGCAAAGGTTGAAAAGAAGGGGGCTGAGGCAGTCACCTTGCAATACGCCGCGGCGAACGGGAATTGCAGGGCTTTGGAATTTATCAGTTATGATACAGGTCAGAAAATCTAGATATAAGCTTGAGATCAATGATTGAATTTCCGAAGGTATATGATGATAAGCAAGAATAGCTGGTATCAGCTTGTGGTGAACTTCGCCAAATGCGTTTTTAAGATCCAGCAAAGATACCACTAAAGATCGTTGCTTAATGCGAGCTTTATTTATTAAATGGCTCATCATTGCTGTGTGCTCTAATGTACCTGATACTTTTGAGGTGAAGCCTTTTTGATGATAATAGCAATAATAATGATGATAATAACAATAATAATGGAAACTTTTCATTTTCATTTCATATAAATCTACAATTACAAACTTCACTATTACAAGCCTATTACAAGAGCAAACACTAGAAACTTCACTAGAAAAAGACTATTACAAGCAAATGGCTTTGAAAAAAGCAAACATTCAGTAGACTAAAGCTTCTCGTCTGACACTCTTCAGAGTTTAAAACGTCAGAACATAGATCGAAAACTCTACGCTGGGAAATATATATACCCAGTTGTGGATCAAAATAGGCCAATCAGAAAACACGAGCACATGACTGTATAGGTTGACCAATCAGTGCCGCTTGCCTTTTGAGAATGTTACCAATGGAGTCCAGAGGTGAAAACGAACTCCTTTTGTCTACACAGTAGCGGTTTTTTCGTGCTTATGTAGATAGATTCCAAAACTGCTAGGTAGAATAACGATCGGGCTTTACCAATTATCCAAAACATGTCGCCATTGTAGTTTCTTGCACAATCTGGTTTTTCTAATAAATGCTGTCCGATAGCAGAATCACAGGTTTTAGTTGTAATTTTAGATTTGCAAGACCGAGGTGGCTGTTCTCTTTGCGGATGGGTTTTGTTTCTAATATTTGTCGAAACATGATGTTTTATTCTATCCTCCAATCTTTGGGTGGTGCGTCCTACATAGCCAGAATCACAGTGGCACGTAAATTCATAAACAACGGAACTTTTTTGTGTGGCAGGAACGCAGTCCTTTTGAATGGACGTAAGGGCCTTTTTAGTACTATAAACAACACGTGGGTTGACCACAAAGAAACAATTTGAAATGGCCTGTTTTATTTGGCTTTCAAAACGTCGGGAACTGTCACCGATCCAGGGTAGTTTGAGATAGACCGGGCACTTTTGAGGACGAAATTTTACGTCAACCGAGAAATTTCTTATCTTCTCCTTAAGGGCCTCTCCAGCCCAAAATTTTTATTTCATAATAAGATGTAATCTGACCTTTTGAAAACGAATCTTTTATTATTTTTCATATCCCTATCCATTTTGTAGTTATTAGCGTTTGTAAATTGGTCATTGAGTTGAATTGTTTTCCAACCGTGATATCAGAGTTCTTCGGATTGACGTCACCAACATTGTCGGCCTCGGTAAGTTCGCAGCAAGTATCGTCGGCTGTCCAAAGGGTCAACGAGAACGTAGCGATATGGCAGACAGGGCCTAACAGCGGCATGCTTGTTAGAAGGCCAGACTTTATATCTGGAATTGATATAAAGAGACAAGTATCGTCGATCAGTCTTGATATTCAGATCGAATATGGAAGTATTATATCGCACGAATCTGTCTGACAGAGCAGTCAAATTTTCAAAGTAGGCCAGTGAGACAGAAACATGAGGATGTTGAAGGTCTGTATAATGGAACGTTGCTTTTGATGCAGTCTGTTTTGGCAGGCCAGTTTTCTGATTTTTAAAAGAAGATTCGCGCTTTTTCATCAGCTCTACATTTAGTGCAATAGCCAAAAAAGCCATCACACAATTTATTCGGGAGGAAAGACCTAAACAAAACCAGTATACCAGATTGATACAACAGATTCATCAGGATAAAGAGCTTCATATCAACATGAATTATTGGAAATAAAACAGGACAATCAAGGACATGGACATGGAAGTATACAAACTTTCAAGACAGGACTAAAAACCTACCATTAGTCATGAGTCAAACAACTCTTTCAATAATTATAAATTTGTTCTTATATATATTGACAAAAAAGGGATTTGAGATTATATTAACATTTAATATTTTTCAATATAGTTGTGTAAAAATAATTTTTGTATTGAATCTTCAAGCTATTGCGAGGAAGCTAGAAATATATATACAATCAGGCCAGTGAACTATTTTTGAAATAAAAATAGTTAGCAAATTTGTAATTTAAATTGTCCATGAGAAATGTTCTTATAAAAGAATCATGAAACAATAATATATTGCAAAATTTATAGAAAATACCTATATGTTGTTACTAGTTTGAAATAATAGCTGTGGATTTGCAAAATTTATATAGATATGACCAAATTATCTATAAAACTTTGATAATTTCAAAAATATTGGCCTTTATAAAAGTTTTAATACAAAAAGAGGACAATGTGTCAAGGTCTTTGTGGTAACTCTTGTAGGGAAAAGAGGGGCAAGTTATCACTCCCCCAAAACCAAAAGCCAGGTAACAGGATGCATGTAATCTCCAACCTTCATCTAGCATTTTTGGCAAGATCCTTTCTGTTGATCCATAAAAGAGTTTGTTACCTTTTTATGCCTAGAATAATAATGTTGACAGGAATCTAACTAATACCAATGTGCTAACATGCAAATGAGCCCGAGCAATGGATCCACACCGCCCGCTGCTGACCTCCCTTCCCTGCCCAAAGGGCAGGGCGGATTTCCTTGGATAAGATTTTCAATCGAAGCTTGGTGATCGATCTACCCACATTAGTGTAGTACGTCTTTTTGGGTGCTTCGGTTCTCAAGATCTTTTGCCTTTTCTCAGGCGGAAATGTTGTTTCTGAGGCAGAAAAGTTGCTGCTTCTTCTTACGGTTTGATTCGCTGATCCATACAATGGAACAAAGGGCACGTGATTCCACGAGCCAGTCGATGCTGAAGCTGCAAGAAAGCAAGAGAGCTTCTTTCTACCTGTGGTCGAGTAGGGTTGTTCCGTTCCATTTCGTTGTTGGTCGTCCTTGGGAATGGTTGCTTGCTGCCTGCCTGCCTGCCGAACGGTGAGTTTGAAGCTTGACGTTTTCGTTACTTCTTTCTGTTATTGCTCTGCTCGACGAATCGTCCGGTTCAGTTGCGTCTTTCGTTCGTTACCTTTATTAATAACAAACGCGTTCGTTTTTTTTAAACCCCTTTTTAGAAATTGCAACGACAAATTGCTGGTGGTTCGCCTTCTTCCGTCTTTGCTGCCAGAAAATCATGCGTGTAAGTAAAGTTTGAATTTTTTATTGCTGTCAAATGGAGTAGCAACAATCGCGTTTTTTAAATTTTGTCTTAATGTTTTGAGTGTTTTTCCGTTGGAAGCAGCCGAGGCGATCTTGCCCCTACCATTTATTTCATTGTAATTGCCATTTGAAACAACTGTTTGATTTGCATGCGATACGCGGTATCATTACTTAAAGAACCTCAAAGAAACACTTTTATTCTGTTTGTATTGAGAAATATTGTCAGCAATTTTTTGTTTTATCGTGCCCCCGACCCTCCGTGTCTGAAATTCACTCTTTATGATCAGGGGTGGCTTTCGTTTCACCCTGTTTGTTAGTTATTTGAAAGATTGATCGTTTGTAGTTGAACTGCATCTTTTGATAACGTGTTCCTGTTTACCCCTTTTTAGAACTGCAACAAATTCATCCTCTGCCTGCCTGACTGATGCCACAAAGTCGTGCAAGTAAGTAATGTTTTTATCATGACTAAGCTTTAAACTTCTTCAATGTATCTTCGGCACTACTTGCGAGAATCGTGTGTTTATCATTTGTTGAAAGTTTTGCGTGTATTTTTTTGAAACCAGGCGTCCTTGCCCCTGTCATGAATGGAAATATCCAGGTTTTGCCCCTAAACTATTTCAATCTTCTCTATTTTTCGCTGTTTTTGTAATCAATGACAAAAATTGCATAAACTGAATTAATAGTTTAGGATTTCATTTAGTTTTACACAATTTGTAGATGGTAACTAGCATTTGTTGTTAGGAAAAGTTTATGTACTGTCGTGCATTTCTACAATGAATTTCTTGACCCATCATGACCCCTTTAAGTTGATCGACATAGCAACAAACATAGCGTGTTTCAGAATGCCAGTAATAAACTCGCCATCGGTAGGTGGGAACACCACCCAGAAAGCATTGTGAGGGCGACGGCTTTTGAAATAGAATTTGCCTGCCCTCAAGTTAAAATCACTTCTACTTTTGATAGCATTTTAGGAATTGTAGATATCATTCTAGAAATCATTTGAAATGACTTTCTGCACTAAAAAATTACACTAAAAACCGGTGGCAAAAAGGGTTCGCTATACCCGCCGTGAACGTGTTTCTCTGAATTTTTTACCCCTTGCGTACTTTTGTGCTAAAAAGAAATTGGATTGGCTGCATTGCTCGCTTAACACGAACAATTTCAAACGATTTTATGCTTAATTTGATGAAATTACATTAAAAACCGGTCGCTCACTGTTACGGTAGATTGTGCCAGCATCATTTTCGGAATGGTAAATGGATCCTTCTAGAAACTATATCAAATGACATTATGCTTATTTGGGTGAAATTACACTAAAAACCGGTTGCTAAAGGAGTCACTAGACCTGCCACGAACGTCTTTTTCTGAATTTTTTCCTCTTGCGTAGTTTTGTGCTTAAAAGAATATGGATTGGCTGTATTGCCCTCCAATAATACTGTTTCAAATGATTTTGCGCTTATTTCAACGAAATTACACTAAAAACCGGTCGCTTAAAGGGGTGGCTTAACTCTCGGGCAAACGTTTTTTCTGAAATTTTTACAAAGCATTTTGACTATCGATTTCCTTAAAACGTGCTTTCATTAACCATGAAATAACATCTTTATGATTTTTTGCTCTTCATCTAGATCAAAGAGCGTTTCAAGCAATAATTATGACGCAGAAGTGATTTTCGGACCTTCGAAACGAAATTTATGGCATTTATGCTGGCGTTATATCGAACAAAGAAACATGAGGAGAAAATGACTAAATCTATGAAGATTAGCTGTTATCAATAAATTGTATTTTGTTAATTTGTTGTTGGAGTAAGGATCCTTTCTGATGCACGAAACTTTGGCTGTTTTTTATCTTTTAATTTCTTAGTTCTTTGTTGCTGCAGTGTTTCAAAAGCTAATTCTGACGAAGATATGATACCTGGGCTTCAAATGAAAAGAAATGTGTAATAATTCTAATTCTTTGCAGTTTAGATCTCGAAAAGTCACTTTTTAAAGATTTGACATACTTTTAAGAGTTTTGTTGTCTAAAAACTTTTCAGCTGAGGTCTGAACAAACACCACGGACATGCTACGGCTAACAAAATTTTGTTGTTAGAAAGTTTTAACATTTGATTCAGAATAAACAGGGGAGTTTTGAGGAAGCCCGCAATTATGTTTAAACCAGAACCACGAGTCAACGAGAACTGAAGGAAGTTCTATATTTTACGTTGGATTCACATTAAGCATGAGAGTTCTAAGGAAAGGCCTAGAAAATATTTGAGCAAAACCCATTTATCAACGAGGACCAAAACTGTATTGCTAGAAAAGTTTCAATTTTGATTCTAAATGAATAGAAAAACTCCTGGAAGACATCTCCTAAAAATGTGTCAAAGAGCCCACGAGTCGTCGAGGAATAAATGAAATAATTACATGGAAAATTCAAACACTGGAATTAGAATAAACACGAGACTTAGATGGTAAACCATTAAAATATTTAAACGAGGTACACGAATAGACCCGGGCTTGAAAATGTTTTGCAGCAACTTTCAGATAACGGAAGACTAGCTCCCCTACGAAGCCCGCTACGCGGGCTTGCCAGTGGCCCTAAGGTAGGGTACATAGATTAGCCTCGAAAAGACAAGAATTCTCTTAAAACCCCCAAAAAATGATAGTAAAATTAGCCTTGGTTAAGACAAGAATTCTGTCGAAGGCCCCAATGAATTCTAGGAAAATTAGCCTTGGCAAAGACAAGACAAAAATGTTTAGCCTCTATCTCCAATTGAATGGTCACGCCCCATAGGGGTCACGTGATAAAAAGCAGCTTGCTCTGCCAAAATTCACTCGCACTCCTGTGACTATCGCTAGAAAATGGGAAGCCTCTACCCCTTCTCTATCTCAGACGACCCTCTGACCCACGGGCTTCGTAGGGGAGCTAGTAAATACTAACCTACCAGTGAAATTGACTTTAGAGTCACATTATGACATAAAATGATCGAAGAAATCATTACCTTGGACACTCAGGGGCATTCAGTGTATAGATATTTAAAAGGATCAAAGAGAAATAGCGGGATGAAAGGGCAACCACTGTTGCTATAGCAAATAGCATCTAAGGATATTAATTTTGAAATTGTGCATCAGTTTTATGATGAAATAGGCAGAACTCCAAAACTGAGGGCGAAACATGGTAGAACATGAAAACTGAGGGTTGAGAAGACAAACACTTAAAAATTTTACACATCTGTACCTCGGGCATGGGTGTACTACACAGATCATTGACAGGCAATGGCGGCGCCAGCA